ATCAATAACATATTTCCCTATGTTATTCAGGGTGGTGTTATATAGCAAGAAATGAGGCAAGTTATATATTGAGAAAATTAATTTTCAAGAAAATTACAGAAGATGTAATTACTACAATGCATACTCAAAAGGGGGAAAAAAAATCACAAATCAGGTGTATAATTTACATCAATTCACAAATTAGGTTTATAGTTTGAAAATTCAAAATTCAGATATTCATATTATTAATTAAATATATTTATTAATTAAATATAATAATGGTCGCATATACATAAATATAGGTCGCAATTTATTTACTGATCACATATTATCAAATTTTTTACAAGTCACAAATTATTTTGAGGTCACAAATTAAAAATTTAGTGGTCACAAATCAAAAAAATTACAAGTCACAAATTTCAAGATTTGTTGGTCACAAATTATCAAATTTTAAAGTCACAGTTTAATCTTGGTCACACGTAACCAAGTAATTGGTCAAGTGGTCACATACCACCGTCATCAACCCTACCGCCACCGCCCGTCTTCGCAGCCGCGAGATCCATCACCATCCTCGTCACTGTTGCCACCACCACCAACACCACATCGCCACCACCAACAAATCACCATTTGCAACTACAAACCACCACTGCTACTACCAAATCCATTGCCGGATTCAACAAAAATCACCCAAATTGTCAGATCCACCACCACCTCTGCCGCCACCATCAACAAAAATTTCACCCACCATCAGTCCAACAAAACCACCGCGCCGCTCAAGTTCCTACAGAAAAAAATCACCACCGACTCAAAACCACCACTGTTGCATCCAACCACATAAAACTATCAACACCACACCGCCGCCGCTGCTGTGCACAAAACACCACCACGCCACCGTTCATGCAACGCTGCCCCTTGCTGCAATTCTCGGCAGCATCACTCTGCTGCGCGAACGGCGTTGCGACGCTGCCGTTCGCATAGCAACGTCGACGCTGCTGCAATTCGCGGCAACGTCACGATGTTGCCTCGAACTGAGTAGCGTTATCGCAACGCTGTCGGCATGGAGAGGCGAGGGAGAGGATTAGGGGAACGTGGGAGAGATGGGTAGGGGAAGGAGGCGAGAAAGTGAGAGAGTTGGGAAGGGATAAAAGAATTAGGTTATGAATTAGGATTTTAATATAATACCTGATTTTTGAATAAATAAATTGTAGACCTGATTTTTTAAAACTAATCTTTAAACAACTGATTTTTTGTAATTTCCCTAGATTTTATGGAAATCGGATGATCATATAATATTTTAATATTAAATGATAATATTAAAATTTGATTAATTATATATCCGAACTTTAATCTTGATTGGCATGAAAAATCTATGTTTCCCTTTAAGAAGATGGTTTTTTTTTAAATGAAGGAAAATTAGGTGTATTTTTATTTGAAAAATATATTCATTGAAAAAAAAAAAGCGCAATCAAACACTCTAAAATAGGAATTTGAGTAGAAAATTGTCATTTTCTATGAAAAATAAAATGAATGAAACATATTCATTTCCTTCCTCAATCTAGTCTCTCTCCGCTCTACTTCTTTTCTCTACCTCACCGTTGCCAAATGCCTAGAAGTGAAAGTAGCACTCCAAGAGGCCGTGCATTGTCGCCGACAAGGCTTCTCTACGCGACGTCACACACAAAAGCTGTTCGCAATGTCAACGAGGCTTCTGCTGTAGCGTCAGCCGCAGTAGTGATGATGTCGCTGCGTAGAGAAGTTGTGCACGCAAGGCACCTCGTGCAATGAATTGTGGTGGTTGTTGCTTACATATTTTGGCTGTGGTTTTTCTTGGTGGAAATGGTGGTGGTAGGTTTTGTTGGATCAACGGTGGATCTAGTACAGTAGATCTGATGGTGGAATTGTTAGATATGGCAGTGTTAGATAAGGACCTGGCAATAGAGGTGATTTTGTTAGACAAGTGGTTGCAATGGTTTTATATGAACGATGGTGGTGGTTATTGTTGATACATGCGGCAGCGCCGGGGGCGATGGTGGCGACAGATTGGGGATTTTTTTTAATTTTTTTTTTGTGGTTTGTGGAGTGGTAGGGTGGTAGTGGTGAGGCGGCAAACGGTTGTTTAACCGATTGCTAGTGGTGGTGGGAATGATGAGTGTTTGTGACGAATTATTTGATTGATTGTAACTGTAAATTAGTTAATATTTGACCAATAAATAATTTATGACCAATTATTTGGTTGGTTGTAATCAATAAATTGATTAATTTGTAATCAATAAATAATTATGACCTAAAAAATATGATTGTGACTCACAATTTACTAAGTTGCGACCAAGAGATTACTTGTGATCAATTCATTTGATATTTATGACTAACTTATAAAATTTGTGTTTTTGTAATTGATAAAAAGTGTAACCTATCAAATTTTTTGATCTGTGACCGAAAATAGTTTGTAACCTATAATTTTTTTTATCTATGACAACGAAATACTTTGTGATTTATAAATTTTTTTATCTTTTACCTAGAAATAATTTGTAACCAATTAATTCGATAATTTGTAACCTTAATATATTTTGTTATCATTCAAACTGCGACCTAATTAAATTTGTTTGTTAAGTGCACTTAGCTTATGCTAAATTAAGGTCGGATCTATAAGTTCAGCTCATACTTACGACAACTGTGGTTTGAGGGAACATAACGACAGTAGATTCCTTACACACTGTTAAACATTCAATCAATTAATTACATTCAAGACTCACGTCATCGTCCACATATTCCACCAATCATATGATATAACTTTTTTCTCTAATCGGTTCATTAATTGCTAAAGACCCCTCTAAAAGACAATTTCATGATAGCCTAATGGAGCCAACCTCAGCAATCAATGGGAATATGTCATTGATGTACTTTTACAACTCGATGTTGTTGTTGACAAGACAGGAATATGAGAGATACTGGCTCATCTTTTCCTATAAATAGGAGTGTGGTATCCTTAGGAAAAGGAGGGGAAATTGAGCAACTTCATATTTCAAATATCTCCTTGGATAAAAACTCTTATAGTTTGTAAGTGATTATCAATAAAAATCATTATTTACACTCAAAGTTGACTTGAATTTAAAAATCATTATTGTTAATAATCTAATTTTCTACCCAGATTTTGTAATTTTGAAATTCATTAAACATGGCAATTAATCTTCAAATTCCATTACTTACTAATCATGTATTATTTTAATCTTCATTAAATAGCTATCCATCGTACTGTGTAGTTTTAATCAATATAGCGTATGGAACGTTCTCCCGAAACAATGAGTTATACAATGTAGATGTTACTTGTACAATGAAAAGGACACATAAATTGTACATAGTTGATAGTATACACTGTCTCAAAATTTAATAATAATAATAACGTTGGAACATAGAAAACTAAGGTATGTTAGGTAAAAGGGGATCTTTGAGCTGATGACTATTCTGGTTGCCTTTGAAAGACGAAATTATCCAGTAAAGAATCCCTGCTGAGAAGAAGCTAAAGAACCAAGCATTATTGTATATAATGGTATATGCGTTTGGGACTCTACTCAAAATTCCAACTTTTTGCAAGAAGCCTGGAATTACTGGCAAAATCCCTATGATCAATGCCCCAATTGCAGCCAAATTGTATCCACCAGAATAATAGTAAGCCCCTCCAGGATTCAACGAGTACAAGTCCTTAATGCTTAAATTCGCGCGTCGAATCAGATAGTAATCTACTAAAATAATGCTCCCGATTGGTCCCAACAACGCGGAATATCCAACTAGCCACGTGTAAACGAAGCTTTCGCTGGACTGAAGAAGCCTCCAGGGCTGAAAAGCTATCCCGAGCAACGCCGTTAAGAGTGCACCTTTACGAAAAGTGAAGTATGAAGGGCTAAGATTGACTAGTGCATTGGCTGGAGCCACAACATTTGCTGCAATATTAGTTGTAACTATGGCAAGACTTATACCAAAAATAGAAAGAATCTTCGTGAAAACCCCACCAATTTGGCCCAAAAGTTGAATCGGATTGGAAATCACATTCCCAAATATAACTTTGGTGGACGAGGTCACCGCTAGGCCAACAAAAGTGAACGCGCCCATAAAGATTGGAAGCCCGGATTGGCCTATAATTTGATCCCTTTGGCTCTTGGCATACCGGGTAAAATCCGGTATGTTAAGTGCAAGAGTAGCCCAAAAACTTATATTCGCTGTCAATGAAGGGAAAAAAAGTGACCAAAATTCTGAAGATGATAGTCTTGAAGATAAAGATAGCATGTGACTGAATCCTCCAGCCTTAACATAGGACCAAATAAGAAGACAAGATGTGAGAAAAATAAGAATTGGGGCAGAGTATTTTTCTAGTTCACGGATTCCATCCATTCCTTTCCACACAATTCCCAATTGGGCTACCCAAAATGTAATAAAACAAGCAAATTCAAGAGGGGAAGTACCAAGCCAGGAAACAGGTCGAGAAACTAAAGATTCTTTAATGGCTTTTGGCAATAGAAGAAAAATTGCTTCACCTCCAATCCATGTTTCAATTCCATACCAGCCACAACCCACCAATGCCCTTAAGAGAGTTGGAATATGTGCACCTCGAATACCGAACGACGATCGAGCCAAGACCGGGAACGGTATCCCGTACCGTGTTCCGGGGTGTCCAGTGAGGACTAATGGGAATAACAAGATTATGTTGGCAACAACAACAGTGGCAATTCCTTGCCACCATGACATACCAAGGTCAACTAGGCTACCAGCAAGATAATATGATGGCACACCTACCACAAGTCCCACCCACAAACTGGCCATTTCCAGCCCGGAAAACGTCCGTTGATCGGAATTCGTCGGGCGGAGATCGTCATTGATGAGGGTAGGATCTGAATCAAGATCATCAAATTGGAGTTGACTTGATGATGCCATAGGTCTAACAAATTGACATCTATTTTGATTGGAATTGGAGTAAATTTGATGTTTGATGGAAATTTGTTTAGGAAATAAGATTTTTGGGATATTGTTTTTGCCATTTGAGGAGGATGAAAGGTGGGGATGGTGATGAAGATGGAGGCTGAAACATTTGGACACCATGATTCCACACAGATTCTTGGGGCTTGTACACTGTGTAACCTTTCTGGTACTTTCTGGGATTGGATTGAGTGGTGGAAATATATCATGTGTCACATCCACGTTCAGTACTCACATACAAACAGATTTTTTATTTTATTTTATTTATTTTTTTGGGTGGGGCCATTGACAATTATAAGTATTTCTCTCTCTCTATATTGACTAATGGGCCGTGAGTTGTGACTGAGGTTGCAGTGAGCTAATGTATTCCGTTACAGATCAGCTATGATTCAATTACTTAAATCATATCTATATTAAATCAATCTTCGGTTAATTCTTAAGAAGGCGAATATGACGAAATATAATATTTTAATATGGGAAAAACTACAAATAATTTAATTTTTTTCAATTATGGTGAAGAACCTGCAACAATTAAAAGCCAAAGTGGCCGAGTTTTTGGTAGTGTTGTCTGGTACAGTTTATTTGAAAATCATTTTTTCTAAAATTAATTTTGCGCATGGTCACATAATTTTTTTTTTTTCAATTTTTTAATCATAAATTATGCAAATATCATTTTTTATTTCAAACACATTTAGAACGAAATAAGAAATTTAAAATTTTTTTCTTATTTATACTATTTAATGCAAAATAACTAATATTACCAAACAAGACAATTGAGTAACGACGGGTTTGGTCATAAGTTTTATTCTTTTCTTTTCTTTTTTGCATGCGAGAATTAGTTTCTTCATTCTTTTAACAATCTACAAGAGCAAAACGTGCATATCATGTGCATCCAATGACATAAAATCAAATGTACAAAGTGAATAGAACTTCAAGACACAGATGACCCGATCGATCTTCCATGAAAAGTCATAGATGAATCATATTGGAATAGGGATTGGCCCTTGCTTGGTTTAGCTAAAAATTAAATTTTTAACAGATTTTAATAAAAATTGATAAAATATGTGATTAAAAAATTGATAAAAGTTATGGTTCTTGCTAAATGTGTGGTTAAAAATGAACTTTACAAAATGGGGACCAAACATGGGATGATTGTTTTGCAAAGTTACTTTTGTGCGAAAATTTGATCAAATCGTCAAATTTCATTTTTAATCATGTTCCGTGTACCGCACTACATCTTGTGTAGCCGATGCAAAACAAGCCTAGCTACTTATTCACTTTTTAATTACACGTATTATGAGATCCATTAACTTTTATCAACTTTATTTACTAAAAATCTATATCAAACGTGTTAGGTAACAAGACGATCCTATAAGAAAATGTGGTGCACCGAGTTTGAATAGAAGTTTTGAGCCCAATTTATATAACATATGATATCGAAAGCCTGGTCTTTGATCTTGTTTCGAAATTTCTTTTCATGGGCAGATTGTTTTGCAAAGTTTTGAGCTACAACTCTTACGTCCCCGTTAAATAAAGCTCTTTCTCTCTATGAAAATAACTCTTCGTACACAAAATAATTTTGAGCTATTGTCATTCATTACTAAAGATCCAAATGTTATATACATTTACATATGATCTCGAAAGTCTAGTCTTTGATCTTGTTTCGAAGTTTCTTTCATTTTTAACTCTTAAACTCTTGATCTTGTTCTTCTTCATGAGCCCGATTTGATAGTATTGATTTGATCTTTTAAACTCTCGTCTCGAATGATTTGACTTGAATGCTTAACTTTCACTTTGATCTTCATTTCGAGTTCGATTTATGATGTGTTGATTTTGATAATACTTGATTGATTTTAACGTTGAACTATCATCATTCAAAATCAATTGTCAGAAATAATATTAAAGATGAAATCAACCATAAGTCAATAAAAATGAATTTTACAAAATGGGGATCAAACATGGGCTGCTTGTTTTGCAAAGTCATTTTTTTGCGAAAATTTGATTAAATCGTTAAATTTCATTTTTAATCACGTTCCGTTTACCGCATTGCAGCTTGTGTAGCCTATGCGAAACAATCCTACTTATTCACTGTTTAAGCGCACATATTATGAGATCCATTAAACTTTTTTTTAGAACAGTGGATGTTCGAGTCAATTTGCGTGCACCTCGTCTAATCCCACTGAACCCTGAAGTTTACGGTCGAGTACTCACCTCAGTGGCCCTGAGAGGACTCGAATTGGTGACCACTGGGGAGCAAACCCAAAGTTTGACCAATTGAGCAACCCCTCAAAGTTGAAATCCATTAACTTTTATCGATTTTATTTACTAAAAATCTATATCAATCGGGTTAAGTAACAAGACGACCCTATAAGAAAATGTGGTGCACCGAGTTTGAGGAGAAGTTTTGAGCCCAATTTATGTAACATCCAAAGCCGATGCTAGTCCTAGCTCCTGTGTACTTGACCGTTGAGATTAATATTTATCACAGTGGTTTCCCTTTGAACATTCTCCTTCGTACCTTATTTTGCGTGAATGCTGAATAGAATCTAAAGAATATTGTTACCAAGAGATTCTTTGTCATAATAACTTAATCGACTTTCTAATCTGGACATGTGCACTTAGTGCTTTTCATTATGAACTCTTATGGAGATTCTAAATTTACTCAATTGTTGAGTAAAAATTAAGTCTTAGTTCTCCAAATATATACACACGTGAACCTTCTTTGATCAAATAACACGTCGCCATTCGTCACTATCTGAGAGGAGTTGGAGGGAAATGATTGAATGAAAAAAGCTGTCTATGTTAAAATTGTCCAATAATAGAATGAAATGTGACATTATGTAAGTTTTAATGTACACGTAACAAGATTGTTATAGAATACATATTACTCGTCTCGTTTGTGTATACGACTGAATCAATGGACGAGCAAATTAACTAGCAAGTGAATATTTCATCATAACATCAACTCTTTAAAAGAGCTTTTATATTGACACATTAGGTAAATGATCGCTATATAGGCTGTGAAATCGCAACTTGAATAGAGATTTACCAATTTCTTGGGCTCATCTCACAATCGATAACAACAATCTTATCACATAGTGTTAATCGAAGAAAAATGAAATATACAAATAAAAGAATCCCATTTACATGCAAACTATGTAACAATAATAGAAAGTTGATTTGCCCCATTGCATATATTAAACTAATTTAAAGCTGTTGTTCTTTATGTAAACGCCCCATGTGAGACGATGGACCCACCCAAAATAAACTTGCTTTAATTTCTTAATTATGTTTACAACTTGGCACTATTCCAATTATTCTCCTTTCCACCAACAAGACTATACCTTTTGCTTGTGGGTATACCCTTAAAACTCAAATTATGAGTTGTATAATTTAATTATGTAAAAAAAAGAGTAAATTATTTAATTACTTATTAGGACCTAAAGGGTGCCCTATGAGGAATACCCTTTCTTCTTCTTCTTGTACTGGAAGACGGTCGAGAAGGCATGGGCCGGTATCTGTCTTCTTCTGCGCCTTCATGCAATTCTTCTTCTTCTTCGATCTCTCTTCTTGATATCCCTTCATTTCCATCACCATTATTCCTCTTTATTGCTACAACCTATATATTATTTTAAATAAAATAAATAATGATGTGTATGTTACATATATCAAAAAGATGATAATGATGGATGGCCATTGGTTGGTTGAGTGATGAAAAAGAAAGATTTCATGATATTTTACTTATATACACAAGATTATGTGGTGGGATTTTTTTTAATATATATATATAAAAAAATAAAATTGATTATCAATAAATTAAATTAATATGAAAAAAATATAGATACGAGCGTGAGTTACAATGAGAATTATGTATTAACTAACCTTACATCCCAGTGAACAGAAACGGAAAGCATCAACGAGGTTTCTCCCGCAGATTTCACAAACGTGAGAAACTGTTTTTCCACCTTTAGGCTGAGGTCTCTCATTCAGAAACAAAACCCTTGCGCCGTTTATTACATATGTTTGAACTCCGTTTATGTCCAGAACTTTCTGAATTTCCGATACCCGAACCACATCATGGTATGAAGATCTCCTTATCTATGTTTATACTCAGATCACATATACATTGTGTAATAATCAATGATGTTTTCAAAGATTTTAAAGGAAAAAAAAAACCCACCTGAATCACTTGATGATCTTGGTGTTTTGATGAACGGCAATACAGGCAAAATGCATCGGTATTGCAATCTAAACAATACATATTACATTCGCTTCTGGCGGCGTCGCCGTGACTCCGGCAGACCCTGAAAAAGGCGGTGTTCAGCATCCGCTCAAGCCACGGCGGAACCAGCATTGTCTCCTGCTATAACCCAAAAACACGAAACTAAAGAGATTCAACAACTCATACAAATTCTAGACTAGAGAGAAGTGAAATGTATTTCGGTAAAACGTTACCATTATCGAACTGGGGGATTTGTAAAACTGGAGAAATTTGTAGAGAGAGAAAGAGAAGACGGAGGCCTAACCTAAACAACCAGCAACTTAGAAAACATAAACTAGTAAAGACTAAAGAGGGACTAAAAGCCTAATTAACAAAATAAACGGTGGAGATTGAAGTGGGTGGGTATCAGCCGTTGATCTAGGAAGAGAAAGTGGGGTAGGAGTGTGGCGCTTACGCGACTTTAATCTTCTTTGCGTCTGTACGTAGGCGTAAGGGTCGGCCGCTCGCTAAGACACGTTAGATAATTTATAGCTGTGATGAAACGGTGCCGTTTCTCTTCTTTCAGCATTTTTCTTCCTATCGTGGCAGACGTTAAGTGGTCATTAACATGGGACCCGCAATATGGTATTTTTTTGTTTTTGATGAGGTAGTAATAGAGGTTATGAATTGTTTAAAATCTAAAATATCCTCAACATATTGCTCTACACAATTTTTTTATCGTTCATTATTTTTTTTT